ATTAGAGAAGAACCCGTCCAGAAGACCTATATAATTTTTTTTCCTTTTGATTGTTTGGGATGAAACTATCAAGACCATTTTGTAAACATTTCAGATTTAGCTATAGTAATTGGTATCTTTTACATCTTTTATTGAATCTATATCTGTTAATGTTCAAGTGGGTATTACATGTTAAATGTGACTTTCCTTTCTGTTGTTGCAGCTTGTTTGGTGTCGGTTCGACAGAAGTTCAGTGACGAGACACTTACTGGCCCTAAAAAGTACGTAACAAAACAAACAAAACAAAACAATTTAAAATCAGTGAAAATGAATTGACCTTTTACTGTCTTRGTGTGAAAAGTGAATGGTTGTATTAATTGCACTAAGGCCACAAGCTGTAGATTTCTATCAATGAAATATGATTTGTGCTGCAGATTTTCARGTTGTGTAAAATCTGCACGTGTTTAGCATTGCACAGAAGTAATTGTGTTTTACAACATCATAAAAAGCAGGCAGTATTATATTCAGATCTTCAGGTTTTCAATGATTTCTTTAGTAGTTTTAAAGTTAAACTTTGTGTAAACARCCTAAAATTGAGCTGGATTATTTTTTTTTTTCAGCAAAGTGGAAATAGGTGTGACTTCGGACGAGAGGACCATTGTGTGCTWCCATCCTGCTGCTGATTATCCTTATGAGTTCACACAGGTAAACACATTCGCTCTCCTCATTAACAGTTTGACTGTCTAACTGATGAGTGCTTTTTCCAAATGTGGCAACTATTTTTTTTTTGAAAAGCATGTGCAAGATGTCCTACTTTGATCAATCATGTTATTTTGGCTTGAAGTACCCAAACAGTTGTGCAGATTTGGTCGAGATTACAGGATGTACAAATATGGTGCACAGAATCTCATCATGTCATTAAATCTTTGCAGCCAATTGAACGACCAGACCCGGTGACCAACCCAGCAGAGACCCATGATCAGGTTTTGAAGGCCCACCTGGGCAAGGAGGTGCTGAAAAATGGACCCACTGAAGAGGAACTGGGCAAGATGTTTTTCACCACAAAGCATCGGTTTTATCCAGTGGGACAGTAAGTCACAAACAAAATACATTTGCATTAACTTTCTTTTTGTTGATTTACTTTAAATGCTGCTGCATTTTAAATAAATTTACAAAATAAAGTTTGACGTTACTGTAGCAGTAATGTGTAAAGATTAGTGTATTTTAGCCGTTTTAACCATCGTTTAGTCACGTCACCAAGCTTGAGGTTAAAAATAAAGGCAGAAATATATGGGAGTAAGCAAATGAAACCTTGTGTGCGTTTCTTTTACCAACACAGTGTCAAGTTTTTTTTTTTCATTATAACATGCTGATTGTGAAAATTTGTGGCTTGTTTTGTTTTAAAGTTGAATAAATACAGCACTAATATTGTCTTTTTGTTTTAATGTTTACAGGTATCACACGAGACGCATCAAGAGAAACACACCAAAGGACAGATTGAAGTTTTAACTCTGCAGACTGGAAAYGATTTTGGTTTTGTCCAAGTATTGTATAATAAACTGTCAAATATTTCATATTTTGTCAATAGTTTCCTTATTTTGTCTCTGTGAAACTGTCAATTTACTGCTCTGTATACTTTATAAAATAAGGAAAGTCATAAAATTAGGTTTAATTAATTTTACACTTATTTTATCTACACTGTGAGCATAAGCTGTGTAATTCTAATGACAATGTTGTATAGAGATGAATAACTCCAGACTACACACACAGGTCTCAATTTGATATCCAAGATGTTTGAAACAACTTCCTTCAATTACACTTTGCAATAAAAATAAAATAGAATTGGATAAAACAGTCTTCCATAAAGTAATTTTTCAAACTGTTTCATGGCACTGTGTTTTCATTTTATATAGTATCAAAAACTTTCAATCATGCAATGAAATGACTCACCTGACACATGAAAGAAGACATCATGCTGAATATGTAAAACGCTGCGCTATCTTTACGCACATGTGCGTCACGACGTCATGTGAAGCCACCGGAAGAGTGAGTTATGTGTCCCCGCCCCGGCAGCTCAGTCAATCCAAACTGAAGAGAGGGCGAGTCAACGGCTAAAAATACATACTGCTAACACAAGATGGCCGGTTTGCCTCGTAGGATTATAAAGGTACACCTGACAGTAGACAAGCTGTATACATGTAGATGAGCCAATGTGTGGGTTTCATAGAGTTAAATTTGTGCTATCTTGGACGTTAAAATGACACCATCTGGCGTCTAGCTCTGTCGTTAGCATAGTTAGCTCTCGTCTAGCTAACCCTCGAGCTAACTCGCTTGTATGCAAGTGTTTTGTTTGCCACTTCCGTTTACTCCCTGCTGCTCAGTAAGCGGTTAAAGTCGCGCCAGTTCCTTATTTTACTCGTTCTTTTTGGCGATCCACATTTGTTATTAATTTCGCCAATCGGCTATWTTCCCCCCAGCCTACCTCAGTTTCCATATGAATGAATATTGAGCTGAGCTAGGCTAGGCTAGGCGGCGTTAGCTTCCACACATGCCTGGAATGCTGCCCGTGTGATGCCCCCAAAACCGACAAAAAATGCTTTCTACGCAACACCTGCGTTGCTCATACTTTTTAACGTAACGAGCCAGGAAATTAGCATTTATTAAACGTTTTTCCGAGTCACCGGAGGGGCTTTGGGCCGGGCCCGACAGTGGGCGCGATCAGCCTCTTCCGCCACACATCGAGCCTCAGGTTTAGCAGGTTTCTGAAAGCACGTCCCAACGACTCATTTGGGATGCTGCGTTTTATCTCAACACACGACAATAGAAACGGTCTTATTTTAATCCGAACGAATCGTTTTTGTGTTTACTTATAATTCTATTTTTCTTTTCAGCGCACCTGCTCTTTCATATGYAGAAATAATAAAATTCCCCTTCCATGTTTTGATTTCTATATTTGTAMTTAGTAGAACTTCTTGTATGAAACCTTTTTTTATTGCACCACTGTTATTAAATAAATTAATAAAAACTTAGATGTAAGTGCAAGTTTAAATTCTGGCTACTTTCTAATATAATTACCAACAATGTGTATCATGATGTCATCTAAATAACATGTCTACTTTGTGTTTATTCAGACACATCATGTATTTGAAACATTTATTACATGATAAGCTGAATGTGATGCTTCGTTTTCGACAGAAATCGCACTAACTTCTCCTATGCCTAACTAGTAGCACATGAGACTGTATTTTACTGAGCGTCTGTCACGCTTTTTAATGTCGCAGATTTAGTTGCATAGCCAAACACTACTACGCTGCTGTGGGCATGTTTGGTTTGAAGCCAAATGAAACAGGAGAGCTTAGTATCTTGGCAGGACACATTTGATAATTAGTGGTGCTTATACAACTAATATACAACTAAACGTGTATTGTTGAGGCTATTTTTGACAGATGTTTAGTTGCGTGACAAATACAAATACGTTGGTTAGGTTATTACAAAAAAAAGTTATTCCAAGGTGAGATTTTCCTTTTCASTCAGCGATCAGACATGTGTTGTGACAAGTTATGAAAGGTGTTGCACAGAATGTGAAAAGTGATCCTGCCCTCAGCTACTTTTTCTTTGTTAAAAACACCAGCAAGTGCAATGTTGTCTTGTCAATGTGTTTGTAAAGAGCGACCTATCCATTTTCTGCTCTAACATTTTCTAYCTGCAGGCACCTCCACACACATTCCTTCCTACAGCTGTGTTTTCAAGTGTAAACAAAAATGTCACCAGCATCATTTCCTTTGTTGTTCTGATCGCACTCAGGAGACACAGCGGTTGATGGCGGAGCCTGTCCCAGGGATCACGGCTACGCCAGACGAAGGGAATGCACGCTACTTCCACGTGGTCATCGCGGGGCCTCAAGACTCTCCTTTTGAAGGAGGCACGTTTAAACTTGAACTATTTCTTCCAGAAGAGTATCCCATGGCAGCTCCCAAAGTGCGATTCATGACCAAAATCTATCACCCCAATGTTGACAAACTGGGAAGAATATGTTTAGACATTTTGAAAGGTAAGAAAGTGTCTCAGCTGCTTAATTTATATTTCCTGTTGCTTTTTTTTTTTTACTGCTTCACTTTAACATACTCAGCAGAAACAATAAAATAGGATTTTATTTGTTTTCTGTCAAATTTAGCTGAAGTGAACAGATTCTCACAGCTATAAACATTTTACCAGCATTGATTTTAAAGCGTTTTCTTGAATAAAACACACATTTCACCTTTTTTGCTTGTACAGTTTCCGTTTATTCGGGCTTTAAATAAAAAAGTATTTTGTTTGCTTGTGAGAAAATATTGCCTTTGATAGATTTAAACTTAATAAAGCTGCTTTACTTGTATGTTAAAATGAGCTAAAACATTATTCTAACAGTGTACATATGAACTAAATGCACTGCGAGTGAGTTCGAATAACTGTTAACTTTGTCACATTACATAGCATTCATTTATAGCTGTGCTGTCAAACTAAAAATCAAACATCTTCACATTTCCTTACTTTGAAAGAAAAAGACAAAGCTGTTTGAAAACGACGTCTGAGGATCTTTTTTGTCCCATCTTAGCTTATATCTGTCAAATTAATGGGTTTTGTCTTTTTAGACATTAACTGTGCGAAAAGTCACATAATTATTGCAGCCACAGTGTGGTTGTGGAGTGAAATTACAGTAATTTGTGGCAATAAAGAGGTGTATAAAAATGTGAAGCTTCTCCACAGATAAAGTTTAAGTATTTGAATAGAACTGTAGGGTTAGGTTTAGAATTTGCAGCCTCCATTATAWACATCATTTTTTAGTATTTTCTGCTCATGAATGGCATGTTGCAGGTGGTTAGATGCCTGAAGATATTTTATTTTCCATATTGAACCCCATAAATGTCATTTTTGTCTTTTCCCCAACCATCCTTCTGACCTCTCGCAGACAAGTGGTCTCCAGCCCTGCAGATCCGTACAGTGTTGCTATCTATCCAGGCGTTATTAAGTGCTCCCAACCCAGATGATCCCCTGGCAAACGACGTCGCAGAGCAGTGGAAGAAGAACGAAAGCCATGCCATCGAGACAGGTCAGCGCAGAGATTTCTGTTGTATCGAGCCGCGCCGCAGCTGCTACAGSTTGTCACAGATTTCCAGTAGGAGAGATGGACAGATGGCTGCAAACGTTAGCCGAGTTCCTCTGAAATTCCACCCACGCCGCAAACAATCCAACGGTTAATGATGGGTTTTTCTGGTGGCAGGGAAGCGCAGCAGCTTTGAAGGAGGGGTGAATTTTGGAACACAGTTGGGCTGCAAATGAAAACAAAAGCAGCTAATGTGAAAGTGACGTGGTGCAGAGGCATTTGCTGTGCAACGTCACCACTGAACAGGCTTCACCCAGGAAAAATATAATTAAGCTGCTTTACTGTTTACAGTGCACAGAAACGATGCAATTATTTGAACTGGGGGTTCTTTCTTTAAAGGGGTCCATGATTAGTTGTAACATTAGACTTTGTTTGATAAACATATATTTTAACTGTAAAATAAAGACTGTAAAAATACTGTAGGATGTTCAGTTTTTATTATTTTTAAACTAAAAGGTTTAAAATATATTACACGGACGGAGCCATTTTATTTACACACAAAGTATTCTGGGTAAATGATGACGTGGATAGGTCCTCGGTGCGAGGCTGCTAGCGAGCTATATCCACCCTGAAGGTTAATCTTGGACAATATCTGATGATCGACTCTTTTAAATGAAACCAGAGAGCGTTGACAGAGAGGAGAAGGTAGAAATGACTCAGCCTGTAACTGAAAATATGGATGGAGGACCTCGGTTTAGCTTGTTTGTCATGCTAGCACCGAGCTAATATACTGTATATATGAGACAATATAGCGTCGGCGCTAGCGCGAAGGCTAACAGGCTAAGCTGAGGTTCTTCTTCCATGAAGCAGCTCTGTTGTCCTCCATCTATATTTTCAGTTGCAGACTGTCATTTCTACCTTCTCCTCTCTGTCAACGCTCTCTGGTTTCATTTAAAAGAGTCGATCATCAGATATTGTCCAAGATTAACCTTCAGGGTGGATATAGCTCGCTCACACTGAGGACCTATCCACGTCATCATTTACTCAGAATGCGCTGTGTGTAAATAAAATGTCTCCATCCGTGTTAAAAATATATTTTTAAAAATGTACAAAACTAAACATCCTACAGTATTTTTACAGTCTTTATTTTACAGTTAAAATACAGTATATGTTTATCAAATAAAGTCTAATGTTACAACTAATCAGGGATCCCTTTAAAACTTTAATAAATAAATTTGATATTTAAACGTTTCTTTATCTAACATACATTACATATGATMAGGTGTCCAAAAAGTAATTTGTAATGTAAATAATGTCCTCTTGATGTTTATCAGCTTCCATTTGAGGCCACAGCATGAGCTAATTTTAGTTTTGCCTCCATGTGTTGTCAAATGACAACAGTATTATGTACACATTAGTAACATCCTACATTTGATGTTAGGGGGTTTTGTTATGGTGCGCAGTGTTAAGTGCATGATGATATAKTGAAATAATTTGTTTTAATGCCTTGGTTTCAGTTCCTTTTTAATTAATTTTYTAAGTTTGTTTGGTCAAGCCAGCCTTCTCGTCTGCCTCACTGGTCACCTGTTTGAAGGATTTGTAAACATCACACCTGTCCTGTTGTTTGTCCACAGCCCGAACATGGACCAGGCTCTACGCGAGCAACACTGAAGTATAGAAGAAGCGAGAAGAGGCGACTGAATGTGATCTACAAAATGTACTCCTATTCTGTCAACATTTGAATTTAACGGACACACACGAGAAAACAACAACAAATGAGTCCAAATCTATTTGAAAGAAATGATGAGATTTACTGTTGCAGACCTTTGGGTGACTTATTTTCCTCTCTTAAAACGCGTTAAATGTGTGTTAGCCTTGTCGTCCATTTATTATTATTTTTTTCTTCATTCTTCTTTTTCTGTGTTGCTATTTAAATGCGAGGTCGACACCCTCCCCACGTCCGTGTCCTGATTTAGGCACCGGCTGGTACGTTTGCAAACTCTTCATGCATTAAAGCTTTTCATCTTTTAACAAATATATTATTTGTCACCACATCTGTATGTCTTTTTGTTCAAATCTGCCAGTTGTTAAATCACAGACGTCCCACTTCCACAATTCATTTCAGGAAAAAATTAATTGGTTTAATTTTATTTGTAAGGGAAGATAAAAGCAACAAGGTTTGCTGGATTTTAACTGTAGGTGTTTCATAAAACCCAAATGTTAATGCTCCAGTTATAGTCRTCATCACAGCACTTAAAACTGAACTCCCATATTTTGAAACTTAAAATAAAAACTGGTGAGGCAAAATGATAATTTAGGATTTAAACTTATTACAACCTGAGGAAGTTATTGTTAAAAGTAAAAATTTCCAGAAAGTGCCTGTGAAATTTGATGGAGGAGCCACAGATATTTAAAGAGGACGTTAGACAAAGTAAGATCCTGATTTTAGTTTAGATGAACAGAATACTGTCCAATTAAATCTGTTTTAGGAAGCAGTTCATATAGTTAATAGTTACTGGTTAAATTTCATGTTAAAATTTTGATAAAGCAAACATCTGAATCCACTTAACAGATTTAAATTTTTTAAAGCAACGTTCTTGTTCTCATTTAAACCTTTTTTTTTTTTTTACCATTTCATGCCATTTTGTTTTGCGTCATTTGATATCAGTTTAAAGTCATTTTAGTCAGCGCTGCGGGTGTTTGGGTGCTTTTTTTTAAGGGAATGTTTAGTTTTTGTTTTCTGTGATTTGGTCAAAAGGACTTTTGACCTTTTTGTTATACGGGTGGGATGATTATGCAAGTGAGTTTAAACACTTCGAGGAGATTAGTCCTGAGATTAGTTGATTGTGATGGTGGAAAACAGTGATGTTACAAATAAAACATATTCAAAGTTTAAGTCCTGCTGGGTTTTGTATTGGCTGGAGAGAACTTAGCAAATCATAGATGATCTATAAAAGTACTTTATGAAAATCATTTTTATCAGAATTACTAGATGTAGAGATCAACACTAGGCTGCCCCCACCCCTTAGTTTTTTGTTTAATTGCAGTCAAATTTTGGTTTGTTTTATTTTTTGCTTTCCAGCCATTGTATTTGTCCAAGTCTGATGAATCAAGAAACCTGGTAAATTTGTTTCCCAAAAGGACTTAACAGTAAACTAGAATAAAATAATAGAAATAATGGATGAAACATCTATAGATAAAACATTGGAATTCAACTGATAAATCGTACGTGGGGAGAAAAAAGGTGTCGATTTCAGTATCTCTGCATAAATGGCTCTTCAAACATCCTGTAAATAAAGTGAGTTCAGTAAGTAAGAGGAGTCTTCTTTTTCATCATTTTTTTTCTAAACTTGAAGGGGTAAAACTTGTTTTGTGCAAAATGACAGTAAAATAAATTTCATTCAGTTACATGATTTATAAAATTGTTAAAACAGCATGTTTGAAGTTTTAGGTCTATATACACTCCGTGTTGTAGTACCGCGTATGTTCACTAGAGGGAGCCAGTTCAAAACAAAGTTCTCGCTCCTTTGAAAAYAAATTCAGCAAAAAGTAGTTCCATGTTTMGCTCACATTAWCTACAATCAAGAAGCGAACGGGAARTCACAGTCTGTGTTCACACTTATTGTTTCACATTTGGTGACGTCCAGAACAGCGTCAGTACCAAACAATCACAGAGAAACTATYTTTAAGTTGGCTCGTTATTCACAGCCGAAACACAACCGCGTAGGATTTAATTCATGAGTGATTGCTCTGCTGTTCGTCGTCCGCCAGCATTATCACAGTGGACTTTTTTCCTTTATGGTTTTTATTTTTGCAAAAGTTTTTTTTTTATATAAAGAATTAGAAATTAGTATGCTAAGGAAAAATAGCGAATAAATGTTAAAAAGACAAACGAACACATGTAGCAGTTTTTCACTTAGTTTCAGTGAAAAGACAGCGAGCTAACGGTGTTAGCATCCACCACCTACCTGTACAGGAAAAACTGAGGTGAGTGGGAGGAGTTTTTTTTTAAATTAACAATGTAAAACAGAACAACAATAATACAACTCTCGTGAAGGGTAAAAAAAATAAATAAAACTACAAGCTACATGTTAGGGGGCCAGCTAAAGGATATTACAGGAAAAAAACTGAGCAAAAATGATACAGTGAGAAAGTTAAAACAGTAAATATGTAGAGATCTGTTGTGAGATGATCATGGCTGATTTCCAGTTTTTAAATGTACTTAATGAAGAAAAGTATACTTTAAATTCATAAAACGGGAAGGAGGGCTTGGTATCTCCACTTGCTACAGTGAATATGGTATTTTGCTAAAAGTATGACTACATTTATGGCATCAGAGAAGGAAGAACTTAAATTATCCACATAAAACAAAATGTCCACATCAAAAGAGGGAATGTTAAGTTTAAGATTTATCCAGTTCCTAATTTCTGACCAAAAGCTTTGTGAATAATGACAGGAGAAAAACAAATGTTCCAAGGATATTCATCTTCTGACTTACAAAAAGTACACAAATCCTTATCAAATTTAAATTTTCTTTCAAGAAACAAGGCTACAGGATATACCCTATTAATTACTTTAAAATGTGTTTCCTTCTCTTTAGGAGAAAAAGGCCATTTTGTCAAAATGGCCTTTATCATTTAACATTACTG